GTTAGAATTCAACAACAATGCTACACCCAGGAAGCCATCAAACTCATGGAAGTTGAACTGTCAACTACTAAATCACCCCTGGGTCAAGGAAGAAATAAAGAAAGAAATTAAAGTTTTCCTTGAATTTAATGAAAATAAAGACACAACATACTCAAACCTATGGGACACTATGAAAGCAGTGCTAAGAGGAAAGTTCATAGCACTAAGTGCCCAATTAAAGAAAACAGAGAAAGAACACATTGGAGACTTAACAGCACACTTGAAAGCCCTAGAAAAAAAAGAAGCTGATTCACCCAGGAGGAGTAGAAGACTGGAAATAATCAAACTGAGGGCTGAAATCAACAAAATAGAAACACAGAAAACAGTCCAAAGAATCAATGAAACAAAAAGCTGGTTCTTGGAGAAAATCAACAAGATTGACAAACCCCTATCCAAACTAATCAAACGGCAGAGAGAGAACATGCAAATTAATAAGATCAGAAATGAAAAGAGAGACATAACCACAGACACAGAGGAAATTCAGAGAATCATTAGATCTTACTACGAAAGTTGATATGCGACAAAGTTGGCAAATGTAAAGGAAATGAACATTTTTTTAGATAAATACCATATACCAAAGTTGAACCAAGAACAGGTGAACAATCTAAATAGACCTGTTAGTTGTGAAGAATTAGAAGCTGTTATCAAAAATCTCCCTACCAAAAAAAGCCCAGGACCAGATGGTTTCAATGTAGAATTCTACCAGAACGTCCAGGAAGAGCCATTTATGATAAAGGTGTTGGAGAGACTGGGGATACAAGGATCATACCTAAATATAATTAAACCAATATACAGCAAACTGAAAGCTAACATCAAATTGAATGGAGAGAAACTCAAAGCCTTTCCACTAAAATCAGGAACACGACAAGGCTGTCCACTCTCTCCATACCTCTTCAATATAGTACTTGAAGTTCTAGCAATAGCAATAAGACAACATAAGGAGATCAAGGGGATTCGAATTGGAAAGGATGAAGTTAAACTTTTGTTTTTTGCAGACGATATGATAGTGTACAAAAGCGACCCCAAAAACTCTACAAAGGACCTCCTACAGGTGATAAACACCTTTAGTAATGTGGCAGGATACAAGATCAACTCCAAAAATTCAGTTGCCCTCCTATACACAAAGGATAAAGAAACGGAGAGGGAAATCAGAGAAACATCACCTTTCACGATAGCCACGAATAGCATAAAATATCTTTGGGTTACTCTAACCAAGGAAGTGAAAGACCTATTTGACAAGAACTTTAAGTCTTTGAAGAAAGAAATTGAGGAGGATACCAGAAAATGGAAAGACCTCCCCTGCTCTTGGATTGGGAGAATCAACATAGTAAAAATGGCAATTCTACCAAAAGCAATCTATAGATTCAATGCGATCTCCATCAAAATCCCATCAAACTTCTTCACAGACCTTGAGAGAACAATAATCAAGTTTATATGGCAAAACAAAAAACCCAGGATAGCCAAAACAATCTTATACAATAAAGGATCTTCTGGAGGCATTACCATCCCTGACTTCAAACTCTATTACAGAGCTACAGTATTGAAAACAGCTTGGTATTGACATAAGAACAGAGAAGTCGACCTATGGAATCGAATAGAAGACCCGGATATTAACCCACAAACCTATGAACACCTAATTTTCGACAAGGGACCTACAGGTATACAATAGAACAAGGAAAACATCTTTAACAAATGGTGCTGGCATAACTGGATGTCAACCTGTAGAAGAATGAAAGTAGATCCATATATGTCACCATGCACAAAACTCAAGTCCAAATGGATTAAAGACATCAACATTAGTCTGTCCACTTTGAACCTGATAGAAGAGAAAGTGGGAAGTAGTCTACAAGATATAGGCACCGGAGGCCACTTCCTAAGTAGAACCCCAGTAGCACAGACAATAAGAGAAACAATGAATAAATGGGACCTACTGAAACTGAGAAGCTTCTGTAAAGCAAAGGACACTGTCAGTAAGACAAAAAGGCTACCTTCGGACTGGGAAAAGATCTTCACCAACCCCTCATCAGACAAAGGTCTGATTTCCAAAATATACAAAGAACTCAAGAAACTAGACACTAAAACTCTAATTAACCCAATTAAAAAATGGGGTACTGAACTGAACAGAGAATTCACATCAAATGAACTTCGAATGGCCAGAAGACACTTAAGGACATGCCCAACCTCCTTAGCAATCAGGGAAATGCAAATCAAAATCACTTTGAGATATCATCTTACACCTGTCAGAATAGCTAAACTCAAAAACACCAATGATAGCCTATGCTGGAGAGGATGTGGAGTGAAGGGAACACTCATCCATTGTTGGTGGGAATGCAAACTTGTACAGCCACTTTGGAAATCAGTGTGGCGGTTTCTCAGGAAACTGGGAGTCAACCTCCCTCAGGACCCAGCAATTCCACTCTTGGAAATATATCCAAGAGATGCCCTATCATACATAAAAAGTATTTGTTCAACTATGTTCATAGCTGCATTATTTGTAATAGCCAGAACCTGGAAACAACCTAGGTGCCCCTCAATAGAAGAATGGTTAAAAAAGGTGTGGAACATATACACATTAGAGTTTTACTCAGCGGTAAAAAATAATGACATCTTGAATTTTGCATGCAAATGGATGGACATAGAAAACGCTTTACTGAGTGAGGTAACCCAGACCCAAAAAAGGAATACGGTATGTACTCACTCATAAGTGATTTCTAGCCATAGTTAAAGGTCTTTGAGTCTATAATTTGTGATCCTAGAGAAGCTGAATAAGAAGGTGAACCTGAAGAAAATCATATCATTATCCTCCTGGATATTAGAAGTAGGCAAGATTGCCAAGCAAACTTGGGTGCATGGACGGTGGGGGTGTGGAAGTAAGGTTAGATGGTTAGGGAGGTGAGAGGGGAGGGGGGAGGATCGGGGATGGCTTGGGGGAATGGGAGGCGGGGAGGAAGGAAGGATGGTTATGGGAGCAGGGAAGTTTATATCTCAACTAAGGGAGCCATTTTAGGGTATGCAAGAGACTTGATTCTGGAGGGGTTCCCAGGCCCAAGGAGAGGTCCCCAGATTGTACTCTGGGCAACAGAGGGAAGGTGCCTGATCTGGCCTTGGCCCATAACCATACTGATGAATATATTGCATGTCACCACAGAACCTTCATATGGCGATGGATGGAGATAGAGACAGAGACACATACTGGAACACTGGACTTAACTCCCTTGGCCCAAATGAGAAGCAGAGGGAGGGAGATCGTGAGCAAGGAAAGCAAAATCAGAGGGGGCCTTCGTCTGACGATGGATGGAGATAGAGATGGAGACCCACATTGGAGCACTGGAAGTCAGGACCCTGAGGGGTGCGTTCACCCACTGTTACAAGGGGACTGATCGAATAAGAGCTCACCAAGGCCAGCTGGACTGGGATTGAATGAGCATGTCATCAAACCAGACTCTCTGAATGTGGTTGACATGGGGGCTGATTGAGCCCCCAAGGTCCAAAAGAAGACTGAGAAGCCATTGACAATATCACTGGGTCTTGTTTCGTCTGCATGGACTGACTTTTTGGGATCCTGGCCCTGTTTGGATGCTCACCTTCCTGGACCTGGAGGGAGGGGGAAGGAACTTGGATTTCCCACAGGGCAGGAAACCCTGACTGCTCTTGGGAATAGTGAGAGAGGAGGAGAGGGAGTGGGGGGAGTAGGGGGAGCAGAAGGGTATTGGGAGGAGGGGAGGAAGTGGAAAGAGTGTTTTTGGATACTTGAATAAACAATTTTTTTATAAAAAAAACAAATTGTAAATAATAAAAAAAGTATAATATATGGGTGAGTGTTAAATATAATGAAATACAAAACTAAGTCTGAAGCCATAGAGTAGTTCAATTTTACAAAAAAATTGGGTCAATTAAAACATGCACTAGAATATCCAAGGCACACATTAAAACAATTTTTACGCAGAAGAGTCCTGGATAAGCTTAGATATAAAATGATGTAAGCAGAATGCTCCCTGACTACCAGAGAAGCACACACTGAGGACAAGTGAAATGATGCATATTCTAAAAATAGGACAATTACAGTCATGATATACATTAAATGGATACATCAATAGTCAATATTAATGTGAATGTCTAAAATAGAATTAAAGATGGGAGGTATTAAATAGAACATAAGATCGACATAGGTATAAAATATCTTCAGTAATATTGCTTGAAATATAAAATATAGGCTCAAAGGTCTTATTTTTCATCATTTTGAAAAATGTAACACTTGAACCTCTGATTTCAAAATACAGTTTCTGCTCAGGTGATAAGGCCATCAGAACCTAAAACCAATACAATTTTACTTCTTTGTCTCATAGCACCAGGGATATTTTCAATTTCTCTTGAACCTGGGTATATAAATTTTCCTAAGTCATATAATTTGTTGGCAATTGTTTTTTATATTTTCAAACTTTTCATTTGGATATTATTTTATAATTTTACAAATATCTCCTGTTTATTAGTAATTTTACTTCTTTGACTTTATTAAGTTCTTCATTTTTTGGTAATTATGTATTTTAGTCTCATATATTTGTGGAAAAATTATTTTAACAAAACTAGTTCTTTACTGCATTTTTGCATCTGATCACAGCTGTATACAACCTATTTGTTGTTTACATATCTCATATATTTTGATGTATAGACATTTGTTTTCTTACTTATAAAAGCCCCTTGGCTTGGCTTGTTTCTTGCCAGCTTTTCTTATCCTAAATTATGAGAACCATTTTATTTAATATTCTAACCATATTTTTATGGTACTGGGAATAAAATAGAGCGTCCCATATGTTTAGGCAAGCAGTCTATCCTGAATTATATTTCTAATGACTCTAACCACTTTTAAATCACAAATGAGGAAGAAGGCAGGAGGGGACTCTTAGATCAAACAAGTTAACTGCTAACTGTCATAATAAATGAGCTGTCCAAATGGTGCTTCTCTGAGGATAACACTGACCTATGGGTTGTTCCACTTCTTTCCTTCTTCTGTCAGAGACAACACAACAAGAAGTTATTACCTCAAGGGTCTGGGAACTATACATATAATGTCTTTCCTTAGCCAACACAGACTCACAATGTGTTGCAGTTGTTAATGTATCATGTTAGAAATTCATGACGCATAGCTAAGACAAATAAGCCTTCACACAGGAAGAGTTTCATGACTCACAGTTGCTGGGATTGTAGTCCATGGTTCCCTGGCCCCATAGTTTTGGGCCTGCAGTAGAGGATATGCAATGTTGCACATGATGGACCAGCACTGTTTACTTCAAAGCTTCCTGGAAACAGAGAAAATGGAAACATTGAAGAAGGACACCAAGCAATCTAGCTTTGACATTGCTGGTGACCCAAGACTTAAGTATAAAAGACATTGGCACCTCAGGAGTTTTCTCTCAGCTTTCAATAATGTCCCTAACTTATGACAGCATTAGGGGATTAGTCTCGTGATCTGTCAGAGCAGTCACCATTCAATCCCCTCTCTGTGATCAGATCCACCCGCTCAGGACCAAGCTTTCAATACAAGAACTTTTCAGAAACACGTCGTATCCAACATGTAGTATATGTTAACGACTAAAAACAACTTCCTGTGCTTTCAGGTCTGCGATACACACACAACATTTACTATACAGTCCTAAGTGTCTGTGTTCAACCCCAGACCATCCGAATAAAGCTACATACAGCTGCACTCACCTATGATGCCATGGCTCCTATTGCCAAATAGGAGACAGGCACAGGAAAGGCCTATAATCTCACTGGTTAGCTAGCACAGGATAAACAGAAATGAGCAAGGGACCCTGCTTCAAAGTGAAGGGTGGCAACTGGAACTGGATCTCCTCTGACCTCCACATGTGTACCATGGCAGGTTTGTGCCCACATTCACACTCTAACCATCATACACACATGTATACCACACGTACACAGAGATAAACTTAAGACAGTTAGCTAGGGTGCCAGTGGTACACACTTTTAAATCGAGCACTTGAGAGGCAGAGAAAAGTGGATCTCTGAGTTTGAGGCCACTCTGGTCTACAGAATGAGTTCCATGAAAGCTAGGGCTGTACAGGAAAATCCTGTCTCAAAAATGGGGGTGGGGTGACACCTGCAGGGATGGGTCAGCGTTAAGAGCACTTGCTGGCCTCTCACAGATGCAGGGTCTGTCCCCAGCATCCACATAATAGAGCTCATAACCATCAGTTCCAGGTTTAGGGCATCTGGCATCTTTTTCTCCTCTGTGGGTATATGCATTCAGCACATTTACATTCATGCAAGCAAAACTCATTCACGGAAAATAAATTAAGTAATTCTTTAAAAAGAAAATAAGAAGCCATTGCTCTCCTTTTATATTGGGCATGCCTAGTCTATCTCTCAGCTATGGTTCCCAGTCCTCCTTCAATTTCTCATGAATGGGTGCTTTGAAGGGTTGTTATGTGCATGGTGCTTATTATGGATAATTGGATGATTTTTACTCTTCTTTCTGTGTTTGGGTCCAAACCACTGAAAAGAAGGATCAAAATAAAGCTTCTAGCTTGCTACAGTGTGTGTCAAAGGACAAAGTTATGTAATTGGTTACATGGATGTCCCGAGAGCTCTGGATTAGTTGCCAGAGTTTAGAACTTTTATCTTTATATTCCAAGTGTCGCTGTTATCACTTCCAGATATTTGTGTGTCTCCTGCATGGCACTCAGATGCGGGGCCCATCAGCTCCCTGTTGATTTACATTAAACACTCAGCTCTCACATGGCACCTGTCTTTAAGTCATTTCATAATGTCAGCTAATCGCACACCCTCAGGAACTGTTCAGCATTGTCATGTGTATCACATGTATAACAAGACCAATATGCAACATGGTTAAAAGCCTCAGTAAAGTCTTCACAGGGGTTGGTATCTAAGACTAAACTCAAAATCCCTCCCAGTTTCATTTCTTAGCCCAATATTTGAAAACCATAGTCCGTTTAATGATCAAAAAAAATGTATCATATGTATCACGTGATTTTTTTTCCTTTTTTTCCCTTTTTTTTGCACAGAGTCTTTGGACATCAGCAATGAAGCATCTTATTGATTGATACCTTAGCATATTTGTTGCTACCGGGGGATAAATAGACTAACTAATTAAACCATTCATTTGGAAGGCGATTTTCACATCTAACAGTTCAGTGCTCCAAGGCGAGCCACCATGTTGTTATCCTACAGCCCCATTGCCTTTGTCACAAGTACTGCAATTTATGGATTATCAGGACCAATTGTTGTTCACGTACGCAACTTGAAGGCCTGTACTTGGATATAAGTATAACCTTCTTGGTAACCTATATATCAGAATATGGTCTGAGGTCATTGGACAAACTACTTCTGTCTGCTGCAAGCATTTATCTAGCATCTCCAGGGAAAAGAAAAAGAGCCATAGCTATTCTAAGTCAGGGCTCTGAGACATTCTTTTGAAGCAAAGCAAACAAAATAAAAATGTGTTTACAGGATCTTAGAATGATCTTCACCCGAAAATTATAGACAGAATATCACATTTCTTTATTCTTCATGCTCTGTCATTGTAACTGAAAAATTGCCTTAGCAACATTTATTTGTTTATATTAGCAAGAGATTTTAAAAAGAAGCTAGCTGTATTTACTTAGGTTTTTGGCAACTGTTTCAAAGTCTTTTTTTTTTTTGGAGCCCATTATCAATTCACACATTTCTGTATCCCAGTATAACATCATTGCTAATAAAATGAGAATAAATACTTATTAACACTCAGATCAGTAATTACCGTGAATTTTGCGTGGATAGTGGTTCCCATCCATCAAATACACGAAGGTCAGCTAGTATAATAAGGGGGGAAGAGAGTACAAAATTAAAATATGAACACACTGAGAACAATTCATTAAGGACTCAACGCAAAATTAGATGCTACAAATAGATTCACAATGAAAGAGTGAAGGGTACTGTAACATATGCATCCTGGGACAGAATGCTGCAGGGATACTTTCAAGGCTGAAATGCTTTTAGAAGGCTAAGGCCTGTCTGTGGTTCGGATATGTTTCAACCGGAGGTCCACATGTGAAGAGAACGTGGTACAGAAGTTGGCACCTTTGAGAGATGTTCAGGACCTGAGTATTTCAGGTGTCACTGGGGCCCTTAGATGATCCAGAACATCCTCTCTCTGGGTATTGAAGCCACTTCATTTTTCTTTTTTTTTCTTTTCCTTTCTGGTTTATGAGGTGAGCACTTTGCTCACCTCTGAGCTCTTTCTACCATCGTCGCAATTGTCAGAGGAAGAAAGCAATAAGATAATTTAATTAGGGGCTGAAATGCCCACGTCCAAACTGTAAAATGAAATAAATATATTCTTTTTGTAAATTAATTGATTTGGGTATTTCATTTACATATTGGTAAGCTGACCAATGCAAACTCCATCTTTTGTAAAATGTTTTAGCAGCTGCATATGAATCAGTGCCTCCAGTAATATCTTGTGTATTTCTTGTAATTGAGTTTATTAACACTTTAAAACTATGACTTAGTTTTTCTTTCTTTTTGTACACCAACCTGAGTTCTCCCTCCTTCCCCTTCTCCCACTCTCACCTTTCCCCCTTTCTACCCTCTATCCACTCTTCGGAGAAGGCAAGGCCTTCCTTGGGGAGTCAACAAAGTCTGACATACAAAGTTGAGGCAGGACCAAGCCCCTCCCCACTGTATCAAGACTGAGCAAGGTATTCCTCCATAGGGAATAAGCCCCCAAAAGTCAATTCATGCACCCAGACTATGTCCTGGTCCCACTGCCAGGGCCCCCCTCAACCAATCAAGCCATATATCTGTTATCCACATTCAGAGGGCCTAGTTCAGTCTCATGCAGGTTTGCTAGCAGTCATCCCAGAGTCCATGAGCTTCCCCCTAGCTCGGGTCAGCTGTCCGTGGTTTTCTCAATCATGATCTTGACTTCCCTGGCTCATTTGATCCCTCCTCTGTCTCTTCAGCTGAACTTCAGGAACTCAGTCCAGTGTTTGGGTATTGATATCTGCATCTGCTTCCATCGACCATTAAAAAAAATGGCATCTTGAACATCTTGAAATTTACATGCAAATGGATGGAACTAGAAAGAACCACCCTGTGTGAGGGAACCCAGACCCAGAAGGACAAACACAGTATGTACTCATTCATAAGTGGATATTAGAAGTAAAGCAGAAGATAACCAGGTTACAATCTACAACCCCAAGATGCTAGGTATAAAGGAGGATCTAAGAGGGACACACAGGGAGGACCCCAGGACAAGGAACTAGTTAAGGTCTCCTGGGTAAACAGGGAGGAGAGATAGAATGAAAGGGATGGGGATGGGAACAGGAGAGTTCCAGATGGCTGAGATAGGACTCCTAGCAATAGTGGAAAGGGTACCTGAACTGGCCTTACCCTATAATCAGATTGGTGACTACCCAGTTGTCATCATAGAAGCCACATCTAGTACCTGATGAAAGCAGATGCAGATATCAACAGCCAAACACTGGACTGAGTAATGCTCCATTGTGTAAACGTTCCACATTTTCTTTATCTGTTCATTGGCTGAAGGCCAATTAATTGTTTCCAAGTTCTGGATATTACAAATATTGCTGTTATGAGCATTTTATAGGGAGAAATTTTTACACTAAAAATGTTTGAGCAACTTTGAAAAACATTTATTGTTAGAATGACATATCAATTTCATTTTATTTCTCTTCCTGTACATTATAAATGTTACCTAGCACTAGGTACAGGACTGGACAGATCAATGGTTCTTCACACTTTTCAGTTCCTTTCTGTATACTGATGGTAGGTTTCATAGCTAGTGACGTACTAAATCCCAAGGTGGAGAAGTCACCACCCCTTCAGTCAAAAACTGTAAACAGTGAAGATCAAATTTCCACATCAGTAACAAGGATGAACTGGGTGATTTCTCCTACATCACTTTCAAAAAGCACACAGAAAAGTAAAGTTTTGGATTTGGTCTTCCATTCTAAGATAGCAAGATGATAAGTTTCTGGTATTTTTTTAGTTGATTTTATTGAGGTATACATTTTTCTCTGCTTCCCTCCCTTTCTCTCCCCTCCCCGTCAACCCTGCCCATGGTCCCTGTGCTCCCAATTTACTCAGGAAATATTGTCTTTTACTACTTGTAGTACTTTTACTACATGTAGTAATCTACTACATGTAGATTAGATCCATGTATCTAATCTATATGTAATCTACTACATGTATCTAATCTACATGCAATCTAATACTACTATGTATCTAATACTACATGTATCTAATCTACATGTATCTAATACTATGTATACATAGTATTAGATACTATCTAATACTATTAGATACATGTATCTAATCTACATGTATCTAATACTATGTATACTATGTATACATAATATGTATACTATGTATCTAATACTATGTATACTATGTATCTAATACTACATGTATCTAATCTACATGTAATCTACTACATGTAGATTAGATCCATGTATGTCTCTCTTAGGGTCCTCATTACTGTCTAGGTTCTCTGGGATGTGATTTATAGACTGGTTTTCTTTGCTTTATATTTAAAAACCACTTATGAGTGAGTTGAGTAATATAATAATTGTCTTTCAGGATCTGGGTTACCTCACTCAATATGATGTTTTTTAGTTCCATCCATTTGCCTGCTAATTTTAAGATGTCATTATTTTTTTCTGCAGTGTAGTACTCCATTGTGTAAATGTACCACATTTTCCTTATCTTCTTTGATTGAGGGGTATTTAGGTTGTTTCTGGCTATAACAAACAGTGCTGCTATGAACATAGTTGAGCACATGCCCTTGTGGTACAATTGAGTGTCCTTTGAATATATACCCAAAAGTGATATTGCTGGGTTTTGAGGAAGGCTGTTTCTAACAGAGAACTCTCAACAGAGGAATCTAAAATGGCTGAAAGACACTTAAGGAAATGTTCAACATCCTTAGTCATCAGAGAAATGCAAATCAGAAAAACTCTGAGAGTCCATCTTATACCTGTAAGAATGACCAAGATCAAAAACACTGATGACAACCTATGCTGGAGAGGTTGTGGGGTAAAGGCAACACTCCTGCATTGATGGTGGGAGTGCAAGTTGGTTCAGCCCCTTTGGATATCAGTGTGGATGATTTCTCAGAAAATTTCTGTTGTATTAAGTTTCCTAGTCTATGGTACTTTGATACGGCAGCCTAGGAAACTGCTACACAGTGAAATTATATTTATTTCCCATACATGTAGAAAATTCTTTAAAAAAACTATTGCAATGGCATTTAAAAGAAAATATGCAAACTTATGAAACTAGTAGAATATAATCCAATATACAAAAGCAAATTATGTCACTAGATGTTTACAATGAAGAATTAAAAATAAACAACTAAAACACTGTTTATAATTTTGTGACTATTAAACTTTTAAGGATAGATTGTTATTCTGCATCTGTGATCCCTACAACGACAATGAAACAATGTGCAGTAATTAAATGACAAATTAACCTATTACACCCCAGACTGGAAGGTTCAATAGTTAAAGGAACCCTGAGATTCACAACCCTTCCCTTAGAGAACTCTAACAGACTATTCTTTCTATTTCTTTTTCATTATTTTCAATGAATATTGGAATTCAATCAGCAGTAACAGAAAATCTTTCAAAACAGTGGAGATCCTCAGTTTTCTTGAACCAGTTCCTATATAATGAATAATGAAATGAGAATAATAATATAGTTTGATTGCTCAATAGAATAGAAGATCCAGAAATCGCTTAATAAGATACTTGATGTTCAACAACAGCCACAACAGCAAGAATGCAGCCATGGTTAACTTTCCATATCTGTGATAAACACCGAGAGAGACAACTAACGGAAGAAATAATTATTTTAGCCTTGTGATTTTACAATTTTTAGTTTTTTGGTTTTTTTTATTTCTCTCTCTCTCTCTCTCTCTCTCTCTCTCTCTCTCTCTCTCTCCCTCCCTCCCTCCCTCCCCCCACCTCTCACTCTATTTTTTTCCTCTATTTCTTCCACCAAAGTCAGTCTTAGTACATTCCTCAGGCTGCTTTAACTCACCCTGTAGCCTACCAAATTGGCATCAGATTCAGTATCTTTCTACCTCTTCCTCCCAAGTGCTTTAATTGCAGGCATTTACCACTGAGGCCAGACTGACTATCAAGGGCATGTGTAAGAATAAAACACAATAGACAAGAACCAGAGTAAAAGGAATGGGCCCAAAGATGAACATGACCACATGATTTTTTTCACGGTCCCTTGATAGGCCTCATTTCTCAACAATATCATCTTACAATAACACATGAAACTGGAAATTCAACAACTATGTTAGACTTCTTCTGATATAACTGTGTTTCAGTAACTGGATTCAACAGCTTGCTATCAAACCATTGTAACATTAGCTTTTGGGGGTGACATTTCATATTCAAACCATAGCTAACCCCTAGAGAATTATTTGAGAAAATATCAACATTTTAATCAGTGGTTTTGTAAAAAGTGGATATTCACAGAAGGTAAAGTTAAATAAACCTGCACCTCACCTAGAAATGTTTTTATATTAAGGCAGATTATGTATATGTATATATGTAACTAGAATTCTCAAACAAATAAGAAAATATTAAATAAGCTACTATTCTGCCACTGTAGTATGTGAAACTTTTTCAAAATGACACAGAAAACCAGACTTCTAAAAGAAAAGTCATGACTTTGACTTTATCAATTTCATATCTTCAAAAGAAATCTCTAAAGCAGATGTAAGACATAAGCAGAGGAACTTATTAATAAAATGGAAGGCTTTGTGCCAATTATA